CAGAAAAGACACCCTGCCCCTCCTCCCCCTCCTCTCCACATCCACCACCTCCCTCTTATCCCTCCACTCCTTCAACAAACTGAGCCTGCCAAACTCACAGGAAGAACCAATTCCTTATGGACAAAAGGTTCTCATCCACCATTACACCCCTACCATGCTTCCTCAGGCCAACACAAGCCTCCATACAAAAACATGGCTAAGCCTGCCTTTCTCATTACCAAAAAAGCCACATTCTGAAAACCCAGAGCAGGAATCTTTTTTTTCTTCTTTTTATCAAATTACCAGTTAGCCATTATCACTGAAGACTTTAACAAAAAACTTTTAAGTCACAACTTTTATCTCGGGCTTTCCTTTTAATATACACACAAAACTGAGACGATCAGTTGAGGAACAATTCAAAGAGCCACAACTTTCACAACTTCTACCGACAAATGTGACCCCCCCAAAAAAACCAAACAAATTTCCCTCGTTTGTTTTTATAAAAGTAAATCAACGCAGGGATTAAACCGTGCTCGCTTTTTGTGGGATTTTTTTAAAAATTCGGTTGACATTAAAAACAACATAGTGTAGTCTTTAAAAAGAGTCAGAGAAGGTTCCATAAAGCACACTAAAAACACAATGTGCTAAAAATACAACACAATGCGCTAAAAGACAACACAATACACAAAAGATACAACACAATACACAAGCCACTTTCAATCCAGTTTGGCAGGAAGCCCTGCGGATTGAAATATTTGTAAATATGTGTAGTTTATTGTGTCATGCTGAAAACAAAGACTGGCCTTGCTATAAAGATCGGAAATCTAGACTGATGATAATAAACAAAGCCTTTCCCAGCAGCAACAGCAGATCTATTTACCTGTTTAGAAAGTCACCCTCCAGAAGGATTTCATGGAGTCCTCGATAAATAATTCAGTCCTCCAGGAGAAGCGGTGAGAGTAGATCACTAGGAAGAACAAAGCTGCAGAGTTGAAGCTGATCAGTTTTCGGGGGTCCCTCCAGGGCCACCCCCCCGCCCCAGACCTTTTTTTTTTCTTCTTTTTTTTTTTTTAATTCTTCCGTGGGGTGCAGATGTCTGTGTTCCTGCTTGAGAAACAGCAACTGTAACTAGTTCCAGTGCTACAATGTATCCGAGAGAGGGAGTGAGAAAGAGAGGGGGGAGGGAGGGGAAAAGGAAGAAATCCACACCTCCCCCCATCTATAAAGCCTACCCCTCCCCCATCCTCCTCCCCTCTTTACACTTTTCTCTATTTCCAGTCCTTCTGCTACAAACACACCACTGAAGCAACATATACCATAGCTGCTCTGTTCATTTCATCCTAAACAAGCGGCTCCACCGATCTTTTTGTCTATTACAATTACCCCTCAGCTTTAAGGGCTTGTTCACACTAATGCCGTGCGTTAATCACATTGATCTGTGCAATTAACACACGCTACTGTGAAACGCACATACTGTGCGTTACAGCGTGGCAGGTAAATTGTGGTGCCATTTACTTGAATGGCACTTCAAACGCACCTCCCGTCTCCAATGCGCTAAACTGTGGTGCAAAGAGTGGTAACTCAATACTGTGCATTGCAGTGTGGTTGAAAAACTTCGCCACAATGGACGGTATTGTGGTACCGTGCGTTGCGGTGCGATCGAGCGCATTGTGGGCGAGAGGTGCGTTTGGGGTGCCATTCAAATGAATGGCAACGCAGCTGCCGCACTGTGGGCTTGTGCACAGCAATGCCCTCCGTTAAAGGCACTGTTCTGTGCAATTAACGCACGGTATCAGCGCAGCACACCTACTGTGTGTTACAGGTTGGCAGGTGCATTGCCATGCAGGAGATGCGTTTGGGGTTACTTTCAAATGAATAGCAACACAATGCACCTGCCGCACTGCAATGCACAGTAGGTGCATTAATCGCAATGTCGTGTGTTAATCGCATGGTTCACGCATCATGCTTCATACTGCGGCGGGTGCATTGCCTTTCCTTTATTTAAATGACATCCCAAATGCACCTCTCGGCTGCAATGCGTTTGACCGCCCAGCAATGCAATAACGTGCGTAAAGGTATGGCTGATAAAAAATAGTGCATGCACAATTCTTTTAAACCCGCAATACACGTTATTGCATTGTGGCATGGTCTAGGCCATGGGAGATGCATACGGGGGGATTCCATTCAAATAAATGGCAGCGTATTGCACCTGCCACACGGTAATCACACGGAACTGTGCAATTAAAGCACGGAATTGGCGCCCTAAACACACTTCATGCCCGCAATGAGCTTGACCGCTCCACAGCGCGTGGTCATGCAATACAATGCGTGTGATTGGGGGGAAAAAAGAATGCATGCACAATTCTTTTCAACAGCAACACGTGATATTTCATTACTGCGTGTTGAGACACAGTCAAGCACATTGTGGGTAGGAAGTGCAATTGGGGTGCCGTTCAAATAATGGCAGCACGACGCACCTGCCCCAGTGTAACGCATGCTGCGTGAATCGAGCGATTAATGCATGGCATTGGTGTGAACAAGCCCTGTAATGCACGATAGGTGCGCTGCCTGGAAGTGTGTGTTAATCCCATGGAACCCTTGTGATTAACACATGGCATTGTTGTGAACAAGCCCTAAAACCTGATCTTAGACAAGATTGTTATATACATGTGTGCTTTACATATTGCTTGCACAAAAGCACTCACTTTGCTTTAAGCACTAGATGAAAAGATTGCCCATTATGGATTTCCTAGACACGTAAAGGAGAAAGCAAGGGACTCTTTTCTTTTCTCTCTCTCTCTCTCCCAGGGCGGAAGAATACTAGGAACTGGAATGACAAACTTACGTAGCTACCACCGTCGCTTAGAGAGCGCCTACTACCGCCCTGCTAGAATAAACAAATCCTGGAGCGTTGGCTGCCTGCTGAGCTGTCCAATGGCTGAAAGGAGCTGAGCTCGTCAGCCTGTGCTGTTGTGAATCCACACTTGTGTCTGTGGATTCGCTGTTGGGGCTTCCGGTGTTACATGACGTGAGGGCGTGCAACCATGTTTGTTCTCTTACATCCTATATAGGCTACAATGGTTAGAATAGCGGGCTTTTATGGCTTCTATTAGAGCCTAGGCTTTGGTAAACACAGTAGAGGCACCATCAATTTACAGGCTTACAATGAGGTACAAAAGTAAAAGGATTATTGGGATACAGGATTTATATAGCACTGAGCTTTATATA